GTTGATGTTTGAGAAGATAGGGACATTGGCTTTAGAGTCAGAAGGACTAGAGTTTGTGTCCAAGCTGCATTATTAACTGTCTGGTCAGTGTGTTTCTCTGAACCTCACCATCTTCACCTGGTAAATGTGCTTACAAAAGACTCATATTGCTGGAGTAAGGAGAGACAATGCCTATGAATCAGAAAGCACAACATGCATGTAGTGTTGTGCTATTATCCTGAAGTTTATGGAGTGCTTTCCAGAAGGTACATGTTTTATTGTTTCAGCTTGGGGTCTTCATCAGAACCTAGTCCAGAACCTTTCTCTTTAGAGATTCTCACCTCACAGGGCATCTGTTGTCTGGGATTCAGTACTCTGCATCTCTTGACCCTGTTTGCCTTGGAGAGCATACCCTGGGGGCATGGGTGATGCAGGACTGGGAAGTCTCTGTAGAAAGGATCCTCTCTTGTCTGGAGATGGTCTCCTGCTGTGGGTGGTCTGGACACTAAACAAGATTTAAGTATGAATCAGACTCCAGTAGTGATGAAGCAAATCCTTCCAGGGTGGGAGCCTTACAGGTACCTGGGGGCATTTTGGTTGGGATTGCCTGTTTTTATACAAGGGTACTCAGCTGAGTATTTAAGGGGCACACACATGTGAGTGTGTGCATGTGTGCGTGTGTATGAAGAGCAGATCTCCTTCGGGGAAAGCAGACGGTGCTGGGCTGGGACAAGGCTTGGCTTCCTGTTGGCTTGCTCTGCCTCTGTGGGGCTAAGTTCCACAATTAAAGAATCCTGGGCTCTTTCTTCCTCTTTCCAGTTTGGCCTGTAAGCTTTCTGAAGGCAGCATCACATTTTGGTGACAACTGTGTCTCTGTGTGCTTGGCCCATACTAAGAAGCTACTTTAAATTATGTATTGTTAAAAAAACAACAGTATGTACTAGTTGACATATTAATGTAATAGGATCACAATCTTCTAAAGTGTGGATAATGTATTTCCATAGGCAATAGACGAAATATATTAACTCTGTATGAATGCCATTATTTTTGCATGATGCAGTTATGAGGCATTTTGATTTACTTCTTCTGTACTTCTATAACTTTCTATATGTAACATATATTAGTTGTATAATTTCAAAGTTAAACATGCATACATATTGAACTATACTGTCAACATTTTCTTCAGTTTTTTATTTCTTTTTCAACTATTGTAGCAAACCACAACAATACAGAGTTGGGGGATTTGAGAAAAATAAAATGTCAGTTCCTATAAAAATTACAATGTTTGCAAGAATTATCTGGAAGCAATAAGGGGCAGTGTTTTTGTTGCCAGTGTCATACAAAGCACATCAATGTCAGACATTAACATGCAGTAGAAATTATAAGTGTTCTCTAACCTGTTCATTTCAATCAAATTTAAAAGAACAAAACTACTTGAATGAGACCTGGCTCATTGAACCGCAGGATATCGACACCCAGCAAGAAGAATCTTCCAGTCCCAGCCCATCACACTCTGGACTTCTCCACTCCTGGCCTCAATTCCATCCAATCAATGAGAGAGCTGAAGGAGGACCTCAGCAGTCACCCTCTGCAGTGGAGCTATTGTATTCTGAGAAACCATTCCTGAACAAGAAGGTCTGTAAGAGAAAGGAACATCAACCTCTTCAGATACCTACTCTTTCCTCTGCTTTGCATTTGAAATGAGAAAAGCCTCTGCTCCTAAGGCTCCTGTCTGGGAGACTTCAGGATGCTCAGGGGCTATTTGGGAAATCTAGCTCTCAGAAGGTGTAGAGAGAATGTAAGGAGTTTATGAGTTTGGGCTGACATCCCAGGAAGGATAGAAAATAAGGCAGACCAGGCAACAGCATTTTATTGCCAGCAGAGCCTCTAGACTTGCTTTGTCTCCTTTCTGTTCCCTAGAAGAGCAATATAGACATTTGATCTTGCTGTTGTAGTGATTTTATTCCTCAACGCTTTCTTCTTCTACGTGTTTCATTATTTTTTATTTTGTATTGGTATGTGTCTGTGATGTATAATAAATGCACTCAATGTGGGGAAATGGTGTATATATTATATAATATATATGTATGTATGTATATAGGTGTATATGTATGTATGTATGTATGTATGTATGTATATCACATTTTGTTTCTCTTTAGTTCTGCTTCTCCTTCCGTCTCCTCCCATTCCCAGTTCCCCCTTCCCATCACCACAAAGTCTCTCTCTCTGTTTCCTATCATCTATCTATTGTTGTGCTCTTTAAATTACTCATGTTTTGGATTTCTCATATAAAAGAAATCATACAAGGCCAGGGCTGTAGCCCATTGGTTCCACCGCCTGCCTCGCAAGCACAAGGACTCAAGTTCGATCCCTGGTACCAAACAAAAAAAGAAAAGAAAAGAAAAAAGGAGACCATGCAATATTTAATCTTCTGGCCTAATTTATTTCACTTAGGATTATAGTCTCCAGATGCAGCCATTTTCCTACAAATGGCTCAAATATATCTTTATAGCTGAGTCAAACTCCCTTATATATATAATTTTTTCTATATTTTGTGTCTTTTATTTCTTTATTCCGTGTGTGTGTGCGCACATGCATGGTTATGTTTGCTGCATTACAAATAAAGGCCTTAAATTTCTTGTTGCCCTTATGCATAAGGAACAGAGCAAGTCCAGTTGCATTTTGAGTAACAAGTAAACTCCATAGCCCTAGATACCATCTCTGATTTGAAATCCCAATTTTAATTTTCTAGTTTGATACTTAGAAGTTGACAACCACATTAAAAATTAAATGAGTCATAGTCCATGTTTACTACATACAACACTGTAATTTTAAAGTCATACTTCATTGTTCTCATAAAAAAGGGAAGTGTTAAACACTAATTGCCTGCCTGGCACCTGTGTGGGAACTCTTCCCTCCAGCCAGGTTCAGCCCTCCATGAAGAGAGCCCCACAGAATATATACACAGGGAGAGAGAGAGAGAGAGAGAGCTCCACCCAGGGTGGGGCGTCTGCCTGGATTGGGGAGAAAAGCAGGCTCGTCCAGGGGTGGGTTGCATTGTGAGTGTTTACTGCTCCCGGGCAGCGTGCTGATAGCTTTCGGGTGATACATACTTGGCAGGTCTCTTGCCCACTACAAGATCTTGATTACGGATCATCTTACAATATCAACTTCCAGTGTGGGAAGAATTGCACTCAAAGTACAGCAGGATCTTCAGCCCTTAAGCTTCCATGTTCATCAGCCCTTCTTTATGCTCACAAAATGTCACTTTCTCCTCAAGTAGAGCAGTCATTCATTCCTTCATACGTGAGACTTGTTCCGTAAACAGCACCCACAGGAGAGGAACAGGGCTGTCTCTGGGGCCAGGCTGCATGGTTCTGATACTTGGATTCTCCCTTCCTAAGAGTGAAAGCATGAGCAATACCTTTCACTTTCCTGTTCCTCTCGCTTTTGTCTCTAACATGGAAGTAATGACAACTCTTATCTCACTGGGTTGTTGCAAGGCTTGAATAGTGCTCAGAATTGTGCCAGGCACAGAGTAAGAACACAATACACAGCTGACTTCAGCTATGGGAGAGGCTGGTAGGTCGTGGAAGTACAGCATGGTGTGGAACATGCTTTCACAGAAGTACCAGGTAGGGAAGTGATGAATTCTGGGTGATTCACAGAGAATTCTCATCAGTGAGGAAAATGAGACAGATACAGATTATTGAGACACTCTGTACAATAGTAGGTGCTGGCTAGTCACTCTGTGTGAGGCAGTTGCTTTGAGTTTGGTTCTGGAGTTGAAGTCAGAAAGATGGAAAGTCAAGAAACAGAAAAGGGGGCAGAATAAAGGAAGCAACAGTGGCCCATGGAATTGGGTGCTGCAAGAGTACTAATTTGTCCTGGGAATAAGATGGATCTTCCAGACCCAGGGCAGGTGATATACAGACAGTGCAAAAGGTGCCAGTATTGACTGTAGCAAGGGTGTCTTATCTATAGGATATAGAACCAGCCCAGTGTAGCCACGGGACACTGCAATTTGAGGAAATGCAGATCTATCTATCTGTTAGGTTCTACTTCTTCACTTAACAAAAACTGACTTCTTTACCTTCTAGGCTAGCATCTTCTCCACTACCGAGGTAATGAGAGAACAGCCATGAAAGGCACATTGAGCCTGGAGCCAGGAGACCTGGATTTCAGTCCCAGCCTTGCCCCACACTCTCCTGATGACCTTAAATAAGGATCTGCTCTCTGAACCTTCTCTACAAGAAGAAGGGACTGAATTGAGGTATCATCTCAAACTTTAACATTTTATCATTTTCTACCAAGTATGGAATGGCAAAATGGGCACTACAACTTTCATCCTTCAGAAAATTAAAACAGCAAACATATTGTGTTTTGCCGTATCGCTTGACTTTTATCCCTGTGAGCCTGGAATCAGGCACATGACAATGCAGCCGCCCATATGTTTTCTTGGGGTCTAGGCCTGGTCTGGGCTATGGGTTCAAGATTAGTTCAGGGATAAATCCTGTTTGTCTTCATAGCACTGGCCTTGAAGGGTGCTGAAAGTGCCCAAGGCTGCCAAGAAATGGACAGGTGAACTTGTGGGGTTTAATTCCCAAGTTGGTCCATAGGCTTAGAGGAGACCCTGAATCAGAAACTGGTTCTTCAAACGCAGTCTTGTATTGGTTTATATTTCTAAGAGAATCACAGGATTGACTAATGTGGAAGGGGCCAAGACAAAATCCTGGTGCATGCATAAAGTAGCATGGTCCCTGTATTTCCGATCAGGATGATTTTGGATGAATTATCTGTTTCCTCCTAAATTCTTAAGGAAAGTCACACTAATGTTTTATATTCTTTGATCTGTTTTCAGAGATGTTCAGATGTTGCAGTCCAAGAAAGCTATGGTGTTGTTCTTTGTGGAAATCAAAAGAGTGTATGGATATTTTATTTCTTTCACATGCAGAAAAATCAATTATTCTAAATAACAATATGGCTGTTATTTCATGTTTGTAACTTAGAATTGTGGGAAATCTGAGTTAGGAAAACTAATTTCAAACCTAAACTTTATTACTTAGCAATTTTATATATACTAAGGAAATCATTTTATCTCTGGGCTTCAGTTTTGCCTTCTGTAAAAGGGACATTAGAAAACATTGTTTACTGATCTTATATGGAATTGTATCAATTCCATGGTATGACATAGATGTTTGATACATATTATTTCTTTTTCCTATACCTCAAAAAACGAATGAGTGATAGAGATATCAGGTGTCTGAGTCTTCTATTTGTCTGCTATTAGTTTATCTGTTGTTTTATGTGTTTTTCCTTGGGAGCAGACAAGTGATTATAGATACCAAGAGGTTGAGAAAGTGATATGGGGAAAAGTGAAATCAAATTTATTATCATTAATAGTTTGTATATAAATAGCTAGTGACAAATTGTGTCTTTGTGTTTTGGAAGCAAAACTCATTTATTCTGTGCAGTTTGAAAAGCTTGGAGGTATATTACTATAGTAATTGATTTCTGGCTTCACACAATCATATTTTAGTCATGAAATAGCCCTGAATCTTGGATTCTATATCCTGAGACCATGACAGCTGAAATGTTCTTAGAACATCGTCAAGTAAATCCCTTCTATGGGTGGGGAAACTGACACTCAGAATGGAGGCAGCTTTTGCCCAAAATCCTCCACATGATTAGAGATGGGGTTAGAACTGGGATTCCTGTATTCCGTGTCATCCGGAGCAGCCTGCTGTCTTTGTGCCTTTGCTAATTCATCATGGAAATCTTGGAAAATTCCCCTGATGTCGGTGTACCAGTCTTTCCATGAAACAAAAGATGGTGAGGACCAGCCATGATCCATCCCTCATGTAGATGCCTGTGGATTCTTTAAACCAAGGTTACAATAAGCATTCAGCCTCCCAGAGTTGGGCACAATCCACGTATTATTCATGAAAATCACCTACATATTACAAAGTGAGATGCTTTGTAGAAAGCTCCTTGCACATGTTTGGCCAAATGGAAGATTTGTAGAGTTAGTAGTCTGTGAATGTGGATTAAGGGCTTAACCCCTCTCAGCCCCACACTACTCATCTGTAAACTGAGGAATATGGCCCAGAACATCAGTAAGCTTCCTTTTACCTTAATAACAATTCCAGTGTTCTCTCAATTACAGCTTAGAACTCAGTCGTGAGCTAACTGCATTTCCCAGGGGCAGAGACCCGTAGCACCTGAGAGTCACAGACAAAGAAATTTACAAGGCTAGTAACACTGAGATTGAAAGTAGGAAAGAAACAGATTTCTGTTTAGGCATTATCTCATCTAGAATCATACCTTGTAAAAATACACTAAGATCTCTTAACCTTGTGTAAGTTTTCCAGTCAGTGTTTTGGAAGTATTGCATGTTTCTTGTGTCTTTCTCCCCCCTCAGGATAAGCTTCTTTCCCTGACAAGTCAGTGATGAAAAGCCAGATCAAGTGACTCCACGCCAAGAAGGATGGCCATTTCGTCTTTTTCTTGTGTCCCTTTTCCCAGGTCTGATAGACAGGTCAGGAGAGCAATGACAATGAGCCCTGGCCGGGAAATTGCAGAGGCCTGTTGCTGGTTGGTTGTGTAAGCCTCGGCCTTGCTTCTTCCAGTCTGAGCCTTGGCTTCCTCCTCTGCAATAGAGAAGAGAGGTTGGTTTAGGACTCCAGGTATTCACTGAAGGGCTAACATTCCACCCTCGCCTCTCCTGCGCTTGCTGAGTGTGGTCTCCAAAGCAAACACCCTTGACCAAGCTTCATCTCAGAGCCCAGAGGTCCCCATGTCTCTTCCATCCAGGGCTCTAGCCCAGGAATTGCGCTTAATCCTTTTGCAACTGAACTCTGTCCTGCTGGAGTATTTGTGTTCTAATAATTTTTTTTTTAAACTTACAATAAATAAAGTCAGGACCAACCCTCAAGGCTGCAATTAAAGATGTATAAGTGGTAAGGGCTAGAGGTAGAAAGGGAGCTGGAAGAGGCAGACTGGCTTTTCTCTGGAAATTCTGCAAGAGCCAGGGCAGCCACAACCCCGTATCCTGAAAGTGCTGAGTTGGCAATTCCTTATAGTCCTCCCCTCTCCACCTTCGGTTTAACGTGACGTGTTCCCTCAAGGAACCCTTCATGTGTGAAGACAGGCACAAGCTGACACATTCAATGGGATTTCTTTTAAAAAATAAGCCTTATGAGTTCAGTCTCATTTTAGAATGCTTGTGAATTAAATCTACCAACGAAGAGTTAAAGTTTCTCCGGCTTGAGCCGCACCGTGGGTAAATCCCAGCTGAACATGTAGAGATGGGTAAAGTTCTTCAGATTCAAAGGCTTATTCTGGAAAAGATTCCCAAAAGCTCACATGCTTTTGCTATAGGTTATGCGATGTATTCAAGCTGGAGGACGGGAGGGTGCAGAAGCCTGGGTGGAGACGACCAAACGTGAAATGTGCTCTTTTTCAGTATCTCTTTGGAGCCTTTGCTCCAAAGCTTTGAGTGTGTTTCAGAGGGAAATCTGTTCCTCGGGCTCGAGATCCTTTGCGCCAGACTGCATGGTGCGGTGGTCGGTCGGTGAGAGGTGGTCCTGATGGCCAGGGCCTGGGAAGAACCGGGAAAATCAGTGGATGGGAACGTGCCAAAGGATAGAGAAGATCAATCGTTTCCCCTAAGTGTTATCAGAGATGGAGGCCGAAAACCGGGGGAAAGGTAGGAAATGCAACAGGAAACCACCAAGTGTGGTCCCAAGAAGAGATCAGAGAACAGCTTTGAATTAGAAAACTGCCCTGGGAGTCACTACAGAAGCCACTGCCTCAGGTCCCTTGCCTTTGGACATTTTGATCATGCAGTGATCGCTCATGGTCACCTCACGTGAGGTGATGTCTAGAGGAAAATTCATGGTCCCGCACTCGACACAAACTAGGCGTTGGATCGACTGTCATCATTTTCTAAAAATGTTTGATTTAAGTAAATGTTTTCTGCAAACCCTTGTTCCTTTGTATGTTCCCCAAATTGTCTTATCCTGTCTCCCGCTCGCCAATCCTGTCACTGAGAACGGTCGGGGTGCACTGTCTCGGGAAAACAATATAAACTGGCTTGCATATATTTTTTCACACCAAAAAGTTTCAAAGAGCTGGAAGAAGCCAGAGCCAAAGTAAATTCCCTCAGTATCTCACACACACACACACACACACACACACACACACACACACACACACAAACACATGCACACACCTGAACTTTTAAACCCTGGAAATCAGACAAGGGAAGAAAACAGAAAAGAGGAGAAAGTAGCAGCCCAGCCTTCCGTGGCTCCACATTCATGTACATCGAGTTCACTTCACAAACACAAGGTGCACTGTCAGAAGTGCCTTGGGCAAAGTTTGTACTTTGCTTGAATTCTAACTTTTGTTTACCAAGGTAATAAACCGGTCCTCTGCTGCTCCAGGTGTAAAGCTATTATGAAAAGGAATATTTGTATTTCACCCCACCTAAGATGCGCGGTATGTGGAACAGCCTGCACGATGAAGCAGCTGGGATTTATTTACAGAGTGAGGCACCCGGGCCTGAACAGAGGATCGTCTCCAGGCTGGGAAAGGCTGAGCCTGGCACAGTGCTGGCCATCTCCCCCACTCCTTCTCTTCGTCCATCAGCCCCATCCATCAGACACTGGCTTTTGCCCCTCTGTGTTCTGGCAAATACTGCAGGCTGCTGGCCGCCCTCCAGGGGCCTCTGCGGTCCCTGTTTAGACAAGTTATGTCCCCCTTGGCTTTTTGTCCTAAGCTTTCCAAACAACCTCTTACCAACATACTTTGTTCAGCAAGATTAGTGTGGCTAAATACAGCAGCTTCAGACTCCTGTGGTGCAATCCTGTGCCTGGAAATCTCCATGAGCTCTCCTTGCCCCCTCCTTCACATAGGCTGGTCACACCCTGATGGGTTATCTGAGGCCTGGGGTGAGTGGGAGGAAACTTTCACCCACATCTCTGCCTGAGCTAAATGACCTGGAACCCACTCTACATCGGCTGCTGAAATCTTGGCTCAGGAAGGAAGAATGTATGGAAAAGGGCAGGCATGGTGTGACAGGGCCACCAGCCTGGGCAAGTGGCAGCCGCATAGAGGGGGTGCTGAGCTGTGTCAATGCCAAGCGATCTGACAGACCACCCAGAAACACATACGACGCGCGTTGCGGCTAAACCAGTTGCTGCCCCGGCTGCAGTCAGGGGCCTTCCATTGATCTTCTGGAAAGTAATTCCAATTCCTTCAAAACTTTGGGCCGTCAAATTTCCTGAGCCCTTACCAGGAGCAGAAGTTTCAGCTGGGGGGTACCTCGTTATAGAGCACCACGGATTAATTCTAGCCTTCAAGAAATAAGCTCTTGAGCCAGACACTTAACCCCTGTGAGCTCAGACTCATAATCTGCAAAATGGGAAGCACAATAGTAATTATCTTCCAGCACTGTGGCAAGGAAGGATGAAGTGAAGATCCCCTTGTAAACTCTGAAGGCCTGCACAAACACTGGTAGGCACAACAGTATAGGACACCTCATCAAGAAAACTTAAATGCATACTTTGTTGGTCATTGTTTGCGTTATACTGCTAAAAGCTTGGCACACATTCATTGAGCAGCCACTGTGGTTCAGATACAATGGAAATCACCAAGTGTATAGAGATTGCTATAACACTTTCCTGTCTGCAGGGCACTTAGTAGGCACCGAGGCATCACTGAACACTTCATTACAGAGTTTTCATAGTCATTCAATCAATCACTGCTCATTGAGCTCCAACTATGGATGAGGTATGACTCTTGGCACTGGGAATTATTTAAGATAGGAAAGGGTGATGTTACAAGTCAACACAGGCCTTACTTCTTATTCACACAACAGTCCAGGATGGCCTTGTGGGTTTCTGGGGTGATACTCCCATACTTATTCAATAGACTGGATTTTCTTCATCTTACACCTCCATCCTTCCCTAGAGCCTTGTCATTTTCTGCCAGAAGGAGAGATGCCTGCAGGAGTTTGCGCAGGAGGTTTTTCACAGACAGGCCTGGAAGTTGTACCCTGGATTTCCACTCATGTTCTAATAGCTACAGCTCAGTCATATCAAACTGGAAAAAAATCTAAAATCAGCCAGCTCAGTTCGCAGGAAGAAACGGATATTTGTAAATATCTAGCTGATGCCAATAACAAGGACATTGCAACTAACGAGAGAGTATTCTTAGCCTCCAGGAGCACATTGACGGGGACAGGTTGTACTACACAAGTGAACACATCCCCAAGGTTGTCTCAGATAGTAGGACAATGACAAAGTGTAGAGAGTGATAATGATGTTAGGTGAAGAAGGCCTGTTTTACACGGAGAAAGGGATCATCTCACCAAATGCCAGCCAGGCTGCACTCAACATGAGGAATTGTTACCCGTTAAGGTAGAGATAAGAGGACAGGAGTTCAAAAGAGGCTGCCACGAGTGCAGGATCCCAAGAGAGAGAGCTCACTTGCAAAGGCCAGGGAAGCAGTGCTGTAAATGAGGAGAGAGCAAAGGACGCGTGCAAGAAAGTTATAGAGGATCTCAAAAGCCACGCGTGGTAAAGAATTTAGATTTTAAACGATAAATCATGCTTCAAGATCATGATGATAGACATAGTAATAAAAGGGGTGTAGGGCCGGGGATGGAGCTCAGCAGTTCGGTGGCCTGCCTTGCAAGCGCAAGGACCCGAGTTCCATCCCTGGTACAAAAACAAAGAGGGAGTGTGTCCCTTCATCTTCAGATCCTTTAACCTGTGTATTGCCCTTTCCCAGCTTCACTAGGCACTGCCCAGGGCTTGTCCCTGCAGATCCTGGCTCCCCCATCAGCTGCCTTCAGCTGTGCAGCCAGAGGAAAGCACTGGCAGGATGCTGGAGGACAGGAGGACACAAGCCAAGATAAATTTCGCTCTCTTTCGGCCTCAATGGGCTCCTCCAACTAAGCTCATTCCTCTCCATGGCTCCAGCATCTGCTCACCTAGCCTGCTGTATCTAGCTTCTACCATGGGTAGCTCTGGCTTCTGCCCAGCCTAGCCGAGGAGCACCAAAGCAGCAATCTCAGCTCTTGTCAATGTCTGGCTTCTCACTCTTCTCCATTACCTGTGTGGCTGATGATCAGCATTAAGGCCCCCACTCCTGCTTTTGAAGTAGCTTCAGCTTCCTTCCTTGGATCCTGGTGGCTCATAAAAAGTACAAAGCACGTGTTGTAGGAATACCCAGGCCCTGCACATACCAGGTACACGGTAACTGTATTGGTTTCCTATTGCTACTGTAACCATACAAATGTACTATCTTATTGTTTTGGAGGTCAGAAGTCTGAAGTTGGTCTCACAGAGCTAAAACCCAGGAAGCTTTAGGGGGAAATCTGTTTTCTTTTTCAGAACCGGGGATTGAAACCAGGGCCTTGTGCATGCTAGACAGATGCTCCACCACTTATCTACACCCCCAGCCCGTTTTCCTCTCTCTTGCAGACTAAAGGATGCCTGCTACCTTGGCTCTTGGACCCCTTCCCTCATCTTCAAAGCCAATGACAGCAGATGAACTCTTGCCTAAGATGCCACTACTCTGGCTCTGCCCTGCTTTTCCCTATTTATGGACTTTTGGGACTATACTGGGACCACGCAGATGATCCACTGATTTCTCTGCACCAAAATCAGCTGCACTTTCCCCTGCAACTTTATTTTCCCCCTGCTACGTAAGATGACATGTTTGCAGGTTCTGTGGATTAGCACAGGGACATCTTTGGAGAACCATAATGCTGCCTAGCGAATAGGGCTGAGTAAATAAACCAGAATGGTGGGAAGGAGGTTACAAAGGTTTGCTAAAGGAGCCAGGAGCACGGTGCCTTCCACAGCAAGAAACAACCACTCTGTGCTGAAATGAACACAGGGGCAGTGGCACTAAGGAGAGGGTGCTGGGGTGTGATATCTCTTAGCCTAGAGCTTGGCTTGCTCTTGCAAAGCCTTCGGCGCACACTCCCATCTGCCAGGCCTGCGATGTGATGCTGGGACAAGGCTCCAGCTCGTCTCTCACTTAGGGTGGCACGTAGGTTTCTTCTTTCCCTAGAGAAAGGTTCATTTAGGCGAGGGGAGTGGGTGACGGCAAACTGTTGTCTGCGGCATGTGAGACCCATCAGTCGGGTGCAGGGACAACTGGAGTTGTTGCAGGCTCTCTTTCCAAATGTAATCAAACGCCTCCTGTTGCCAGACAACGTGTTATTCTGAGGGGGACTGGTGGGGTTGTTGTGAATGGGAGGTGCCTTCTGTAAGTTTGTCAGATGGGGACTGGGAGGAGAGGAGAGCAGGGAGGGGAGCCTCATTTCATTGACAAATAAACTTCCAAACTGTAGTAGCTCCTGAAATTTCCTCTTGGAAGTGCTTGCTCTTGAGGGGGATCCTCAGTGGGATGGGAGTGATGAGCAGCGAGGTGGAGTTTGTGACAATATAAACTCACGGTCACCACGTACAGTATCCCAGGCCCCACCCTTCTGCCCCCCCCCCACCTTCTCAGGAAGGAGATCAGTTTGAAGATGACAGAGTTTGGGTAAGTGTAGAGTGGCTTTCTCTATTTTGAGCACGATTTTATGGAAATGACTCTCTTTACGTTGCCTCATTTGAACTGGAATTCCCCCACCACCCGCCTTCCCACGCACCCTTATGCAGACAAGGGGAGGAAGTCCTTGCCAGGTCAGCTCTTGGGAGAAGGGAGCCCTGCCTTTAGGGGCCTGGGCTGGAGTAAATGTCCAGTGACAAGACCCGCAGAGCTGCAGGCTTTGATCTCTATGTTCCGGGGCTTTCTGAACCAGCGCAGGGCACTGGAAACCCATGAGAAATCACTGGGGCGAGACCTATCAAGGGAGCGTGTCTCAGTGGGGTACCTCCACCTGCTGCTCTCCAGTTGGGAAGATTCTAGAAAGAGTTGCATTACATAATTTTTGCTTATGCGAGTGGCACGAAGGTAATATAATTGTGCTTTTATCAGCACAGATATGTTACATTTGGGATATGTTTCCTTCTTAAAAGCAATTTTTGGTTTCTGAGAACATTGAAGGATTTAGAGCTATTAACTCACCCTAAAAACGTACAGTGGCAGACAAAGGACTGCTCTGGAAGGATTTATGCAAGACTTTGGAGAGCACTGGATAGTAAGTCAAAGGCAGGCCAAAGACTTACTTCTATTTACCCCTTTACACCTGTTGAGTGTTGTACTTTTAAATATATGCTATATATTTTAAAAAGTAAATACATTTTAATACACAGAATCAGTATAATCTCAACCAGATAAAATTAGGCAGAGCAAGAAAACTACAATGAAAATTGGCTAATACTCAACTCCTTGTAACAAGATTGTTTCTCTTATCCATAACATTTGGATATTTTCCACACTATCTTAAATAAAGAATGAAGAGAGCTTTTTCAGTGATTCCCAAATTTATAATTGGGAATGACAAGGGGAAGACAGTGTTCCTATGAGCCATTGCTACAGGCTCAAGCTGACGAGGTGATCTCCAGCCATGTGTCTTCTCCAACCCTGGTTTCTTCTCAGTTTGCCAATGAGTAGGCTGCATTTCTAGGTCTGATTAGTGGATCTCTTGTCTTTCCCTCAGTCATAGTGAAACGTCGTAAGCTCCTCACCCTTCGTGATGGCTGAGTTTCAGTTCAGATAACCTTCTTGTTATCAACATCATGTCTGCTGTCATCCATGACTGTCACCCCCATCAGCAATCTCTCCTCAATCCAACATCATATGTGGTTCTCAAGCTTTTGTAACTTTTAGCTCCTCTGTGAGGTAGGTGTCATGGGTGATACAGAGGTAAAGTCAAACAGTTCCTCCCCTTTAGGGCCAGGGTCAGAATAGAGTTCTCTTTCCTTGTATCCAAGAGTGGCAAGAGCTTTCAAAGGTACCATGACATAGACCTTCAGAGAGAAGAAACTGGAAGGAAGCTTTCCTACCTTTTCAGTCACCTGACTTCTCTAATCTTTTATCACACTCGTCTGTTTATTCTGTCTTTATCTTGTGCTCTGTCTTTTCTTATCCGCTATGGCTTAAGTGGGTGCCACAGTGTAATAGATGTGTACAAGGAGGGAATGGGGGGGGAGGAAATAAGGAAGAAAGAAAGGAATTTTAGGAAGGAAAAAGGAAGGATGGAGGGCATTTAGAGGAAGCTGAGGTTAATTCCACTCTGGAGGCAGAATTCACAGAAGAGGTAGCATTTGGACAGACTTTGAGGTACATATGGTATTTAGATCACAAAAGAGAAGGGGAAAATGACCTAAAAGGACAGATAGAGCAAAGGACATGGGCGAGCTGCATGGGGATGTAATTGACTGAACTTCTATGTCTGCAGTGTGAAGGTCACACCACTGGCCTCAGAGGTGGCTGTGAGCTTTAAGTGGTACAAAGAGCAGCACAGCTCACATTTACATCGTATCCACTGGCTACCCACAGCCCAGAGCTAGCAAGTAGAAAGGCCAGGGTTCTCTCAAGCCAAAGTGAGCACCCTGGACCACTATTCAAAATAGCATGGAACGATGAAGAAGGGGTCCAGAAACCAAAGCATCTATATGTCCAGGTTATGTGGTTCCTTTGAATCTGAACCTACTCCTCGGATGTTAGAAGTTTCAGATCAAGAATTATAGTTAAATTCTGAGCTAACTGAGCTTTGGGAACAGTCAGCAGGCTGCTGACCCAGTGCCTCGTCTTTTGACTCAGATGCTACTTAGGTGTGGGCATTCCCAGAATTCCCACAGAGTGATTCAAACCAGAGGACCCAATCTGATCTGAAGTGGGCTGGAGGAATCAGGAGACCCCCTACCCTCAGCCTCACTGGGACCAATCATGAGCTGTGATCAAGCCCATAATGCCCACTCTGAGAACAGGGCTAGCCCCATCAGCAGCCTCCCTTCAGTCTGAAGGTCTCAGGTACTAAAGACAGAAACCACTGAGACTCCTTCCATGTTTGTGGCTTTTTTTGGGAAACAATCTCACTATGTGTTCCAGGCAGGTCTCAGATTCACAACCTTTTTTCCTCAGCCTCCCAAGTGCTGGGATTATAGGCACGAGTTACAGTGCTTGTCCCGTTACCACTCTCAGCCAAAAAAGATTGAGTTATGAAAGTTCTTTTTCTTTGCGCTCAAGGAAAAAAGATCTTTAGAATGATAACACAATTTGTCCTGTGTTTCTTATCCTGCGGTGTCTTCACATCCATGACTTTTCCTCCCCCTAACAACCTTGCGGCAATGAGTGCGGGGAGGCAAAGGAGAATGGAAGAAAGAAAATTCATGGAAGAGAAATATTATGTCTTTTAGATCAGTAAGGCCTCTGAGGCTCAGAAAGGTTAAGCAGGATGATAAAGGTCACACAGCTGATCAACAATACTGCAGAGGCTCAGAGCTAGGATTCCCCATTGGGAGCGGCTTTGTCCTAAGGGAAGATTTGGCAATGTCTGGAGGCATATTAGAGTGTCACCACAGGGGAGAAGGAAGTGGGAGTCATTGGTATCTAGTGGGTAAATGTCAGAGGTGTTGCGAAATATCTGACAATGCACAGGGCAGCACCCCCATAACAAAAATATCAACAATGCCTAGATTGAAAAAACCTAGGTGGGATGAAATGTAAAAAAATAAAAATAAAACTCCCATTCCCAGATTCCCACGCACACGGGAAGTCCCAGGAGTAGCTCCCTTTTAAAAAACAGCCCTCCATACTCTGCAAGCACTTCTCTTCCTACCCTGATGAGGATCTGCCAAATATGTCAGAGCTAGAAAGAGAAATTTAGGCAGAGAGAAAGGCAGTGAAGGACAAGGGCCACCAAGCCACACCTGGTTGAGAAGGAGTAGGACCCATTTAACTGCCTCAAGCAAACACATTTCCTGCTTCCCAGGCTTATCTCTCTGCTCACCAGCTCCTCTTCAAGCCATTTTCTGACTCACTGAGATCTGAATATTCTCAGAGACATAGACTTGCTTACGGCTTATTCTAATACAGATGGGGGAGATGGGGAACAGACCACACCGCAAGAGAAGAACCTCAATTACTTGGCTTCAGACCCACCCCATGGCACAGCTGCCCTTCCAAGAGCCTTACCAAGAGAAGGTAAAACTCTCTACTGGAAATGAACAGGCACCATCAAAGCCCTTGCAGAAGGCACATTACTGAAAATAACAAAGTTCTTGGAACTGAAAGGTGGTTTTGGGGGTTTTTTTTTCCTTATTTGATTTTTTGAGGCTTGTTCTATTGGTTTAGTTTTTTGTTTTTTGTTTTGTTTTGTTTTTTTTTAACTCAGCCAGTCAGTGAAACTGAGTTGGTCAGTGAAACTTTCTAGGGACTAGAGGTTTCACTTTCAGGGTCTAAAAGTTTTGGTTTGGGCTTTTCAAGCCTTCATAAAAGCAAGCAATCAGGGTGTTCAGTACTCTAGGCCAAAAGTGAGTTTCAAGTTACACACACACACACACACACACACACACACACACTCACTCACTCACACAATGCTGGTATTTATTGAGTAGGCGAATTCCTACAAGATATTTATCCAACATGTGTTCTGAGGCTGTAGGCAATAGATACAGCCCCAAGCAAGAGGAAGACATTTCCTTCCCTCAATTACTTATAGTCTTGCTGGGTGAGTGAATCAGTTAATAGCTCCCATCCTCTCCTCAAAAACATCCTCTGTTCACTCTCAGTGGAACTTACCTCAAATTTTATTCTCTTATTAGAATAGCCTTGCCTTTTTTCCCTCTGTCGAATTCCTCTTTAGTTGTCAGGAACAAAAGCAGATGCTAACTCCTTTGAAACATCTTCTAGAAATTCCCACCAGGTTCAGGAAATGTTGCTTAAGTTTATCTTCAAACTCTTCTCCACATGGCTGCAAAATCATTTGAGAGAGGGTCTTGATAAGTTGCCTGGGTTGTGCTTAGAGTTGTGCTCCTCCTGCCTCAGAATCTTAGAGTGCTTACAGGTGTGCTCCACCACACTCAACCAGAGCTACCTGGTTCAAATCCAAGTTGTCTTACCTGTTGGTGCCGTGGGTAGTTCACGTTGCCTCTTTCTGAGCCTAGTTCCATGGTGTATTGTGAACATCAAGAATCCTAAACTGGCGGATGGTGATTTCTCAGTGCAGAATTATAGCTCAAGTGTCAGGCACTAAGCTCCCTGCTGCAGAGGATCCAAAAATTCAAACGATATGGGCACTTATCCCTGGAACCTCGTAATGTAGCAAATGGAAAGCTCACAAAACCTTTGCAAGAGAGACCACAATGCATTAGAACATTTGCAATGAGAAGTATTAGGGAGCAGATGAAACCAATTCTGAACGGCTGGATCTGGGTCTCTGCAAAGTTCTTCGAAAGGATAGAATTTGATCTGGACCTTGGGAAGAGGCAAGCCCTGTAGGCAGGGGAGGGGGCTTGTTTCCAGAAGAGGCACCTGCTGACTCTCCAAAGCAGTGAGTGTGACAGTGTTGGCGAGGCCACACTGTCGCACAGCTAAAGGGTGAAATTTCAGATGTGTAGTGAGAGTGAAAGGAAGAGGGTGGAACTGAACATGGGTTTATTAGTGAAGTTAATTGGAAAGATAGCATCAGACTCTTAAGGGCTTTAAGTGCCTAGCACAAAGGTTGGGATCTCTTCCCGAGGCCAGTAGGGAGCAACTCAAGGTTTCTGATGTGAAAGAATGGCTTGAATTTATCAGATCCCTGCCATCAAGTTGCTCAGCCCAGTCAAGAGGAGAAACAGGTGAAGAATGAAGTGTGAAGGGATGTGATGAGTAAGATGGCGGAAGCATGAAAGAGAAAACAATCGAAGAGGAAGGCTCAGGGGAGGAGCAGAAGAAACCGGACATCCTGAGGGTCCATCACTGCAGCCCCCTGCCACAATGCACTTATCTATGACTGTGTCTTTCTGCACCGTGAACTCCTCGAGGCCCAGGCACAGTGCCTGACACTCAGCAAACCTTCAGAAAAGGTTGCTAAAATTAAAAACCGCTATGCAGCTGTGGGCATAACATGTAAGGTGGATTTGAGAGGAGGAATGGAGGCTGGGGGGCCTCCTAGGGATTGGTTTGAGAACTAGTGAGATTGGAAGAGAAGAGCAGTGTGACGGGCATGGAAGGCCTAGGATGGAGCAGAGATGGACACAGGGCAAGAGCAGATGCTGGGGACTGCTTGAAGGTTGGGAGGATGAGGTAGACAAGGGCTCGGAATTCACAGAAGCATTGAGGCTGGATGCTTGGAAGCCTGTGAATGCTATCAGCATCATCCATGCAGATGATAAGGGCTCAAATCCCAGGGCCACTGTCCACGCTGGAATTCACTGCACATTTGAGAAGAGGATGGACAGATGGATGCGTCTTAATCACCAGTCAGGGATTTACTAGCTCAATTTTATTGAGGCCGGGGAGAGTTTACATATCACCAACTCTGTCACTCTTGTATAAGTGAAATAAGGTAAGACGGGGAAACTGGCTGCTTTTGATCACACAGCTAGGAGGTGATAAATTTAGGGCATGAAACTAAATCTCTGAACTCCTAGGGTACTGTTCTTTCCAGTATGTTAAATGGTTATTTTCTTCAATTCTTAAAAAGAATTTCAGAGGAAATGGCATGCATGAATATCATGTACCACTTATAATTTATTTTTTTAACTAAAAGCTACATTGGGAATTTCATTTCCGTTTTGCTGATTAAAATAGGAATTCTTAAAGTCATGCATATTGATTGAGGAGTCCTCAGCTTTGGGGCCAAATTCTTCCAGTGGCTGTTACCTTCTTTAATCCCATTTCCCCAGACATTTCTCTCTGACCGACTCAGATCCCTACTTGTAGCTGAAGACTGCAGGACCTGCTCCGGGGAACTGTTCTTGTTCTGGCCGAGGAACAAGCTCTGAGGACAATTCATCACTTTGCAAAGATGGAGTTGGGTTTAAAATCCAAAAGGAGATTTCTTTAAATCACACCCCAAAACCAATCCTTCCTCCGACTTCCTCCTGCTTCCACCAGGCTCTTGCTCTGTGCTCTTGAACTGGTTATCTTGGTGGAAGGGATGATTAAAAAAAACAAAACAAAACAAAAAAGCTTAAAGTCCAGGCCCTCCTTTAAAGAGTTTCTACCCTAATTGAGGAGAAGAGACTTAGGTGAAAAAAAAATCATGGTATAATTTAAGAGCAACATCTGTCTCTTTCCTGGGAAACTTTCAGGAAGTGAATTTTAGCTGAGGGAGGAACTTCCAGTCCCTTTTGGGTACTTGAGCATGACCAGAGCATCTTTTCCGATTCCCAGCAGTCCCTGATGCCAGAGATCACACTTTCTCATTTAGTTGTTTTTCAGGGTTACCACCATGGTGAGCAGTGAATCAACACAGTCAGTGTAAATTTGCCCTCAAGGAAGCAGACAGAGAGCACAGAGAGCAAAGGGAGCCTGGGGACACTTACCTGGAGCCTCCTTCCCTCTGTCCTCCCCAAGTCATCTTCCACACTCAACCAGCGGTTACCAGTAAAAGCTTGCCAAGAGTCTCTACGGTGGCAGTGCGCTTCAATAATAGCAGTCAGAAACATTTACTAAGCACTGATTTAATATTCTAACTGCATTATCTTATTGTACAGTGACAACTGTCCTGGACTTTTATTCCCAGCACTGCCTAGATGTGTGTTAGGAGATGGCTAATTGGCCTTTGCCATTTCCTCACCTGTTATGCCCAGAAGTAGCTCCAGTACTTGGGACTGAGTATGGAAGAATTTGTGCAATTGTAGGTTGGAGAATAACCCAGTACCATTTTTAAAAAGGAATAATGTGAGTGTCAGTAAGATTTAAAATGTGCGTTGGCTTTTAACAACTTAATCTCTAGACATCTATCCTACAGAGTCAGTAGTGAGCATACAGAAGGATTCACATGCAAAGATGTGTGTGACAGCGTCATTTGTAAAAGCAAACAAGTCAAATCACCTTAAACGTCTATCAACAGAGAAACAGTAGACACCATATACCATATCTAGTCTATGGAATGCCAAACTAAAAATGAGGTCTGGAAATGGAAATTATTGACAAAATTTAAAAATAAACAGCTTAATATATGTTTTAATTCACTATAAATAGATATGTGTATAATGTAATCTGTATTCAATATATTTGATTCACCTTAGGAAATGAACTTGATTGGTAACTGCTAACAGTCTGGAAGACAAAACCCACTTCTTTCTCTGGTTTTTAAACACAGCAGGATAAAGGTAATTTTTCATGTTTTAGAACTTTTCAGTCCTAACAGCTGCCTCTTAAGGAAGATAGATCTGGACAAAAAGGAGGCACATGTTCTCTGAGAACCTGTGGCCACTTAGGTAAGTCCATAGGCCAAGGCTGAGACAGTCTGAGAAGGATGGCTGAGGATTTGAGATAAAAGGAAATGAAGAAGGAGGAGGAG